TGGACTAAGGAGCTGAACAGAGAGTTCTCAAAACAAGAAGGTGGCTATGAAACATCTTAAAAGATGTTCAACATCACTATAATTAGGGAAATGCAAATTAAAACCACTTTAAGACTTCACCTCACCCCAGTCAGACTGGCTAAGATGAAGAGAACAAATGATACCAAATGTTGGAGAGGATGTGAGAAAAGGGGAGTGCTCATCCATTGCTTGTGGGATTGCAAACTTGTTCAACCCCTATGGGAAACAGTGTGGAGAACTCTTAAAAAACTACAAATGAACCTAGCATTTGACCCAGTTATACTGCTCCTTGGCATATACCCAAAGAACTCATCCAATTGCAGAGACACTTGCACATCCATGTTTGTTACTGCTTTCTTCACAATAGCTAAAAGATAGAAGCAACCTAAGTGTCCCTCAACTGATGAGTAGATAATGAAAATGTGGTACATTTACACAATGGAGTTCTACTCAGCAGTAAAGAAAGATGAAATCATGAAATCTGCAGGTAAATGGATAGAGCTAGAAACTGTTATATTAAGTGAAGTAACAGTCTCAGAAAAACAAACAATATATGTTCTCCCTCATATGTAGATCCTAGCACCAAATCCTGATAAGCGAGTATGTATCCATACATAACTACAGGAACCAGGATAATGAATAGGAACCAGAGAGGTAAAGGAAAACAAAGAACCAGAGAGAGAAGAACAGTGGGAAACAGGTGTTAATGAGGAAGATATGGATAAAAATGGACTTATTTAAACAGGAGGGGAGGGAGGGTTACACAAGGAACCTTGGGGATAAAGGGAATGAAGGAGCTTGAGAGGTGAGACCATAGGTTATTATTAAGGGAGACATGGGGAAAATGGGGGCACTTTAAATGGAAACCATGGTGGAAGGGTTAGATAAATCATGCCTAGGTAGTTTTTGGTTTTATTTTTATTTTTTGGTGTTTTTGAGACAGGGTCCCCCTGCAGCCCTAGCTGGCCTGCAACTCGGTATATAGACAAGGCTGGCTTCAAACTCACAGTGATCCGCCTGCCTCTGCCTCCCAAGTGCTGGGATTAACGGTGTCTGCCACTATGCCGGGCTATGCCTAGCTAGTTTTAAAAAACCAGAGGGAACCATATTAGTCCAATAACCTACTGACAAATTATACATACAACTAGTTCAAGAAAAAAAAATGTATGTCTAGTCAAGATTTATGTGAGAACGTTTGGTTTTTGCCCAAGTTTTATCTACATAGCACATAGTAATTAAAAGTACCAGACTGGTGGAACTAACCTTCTTAGATGTTTAACAGCGATACTTTGAGGCCTATAGTAATCTGGTCAGAGGGACATAAAGGACACTTTTTGCTCCTTGCCCTCCAAGGTTGACTAAGTTCCAGGGGACTATAGAACATTCCTCAAAATGTCCTGTGGTGAGTCACCTGTTCTCTTGTTCAGGGAGGCCATGAAGACCCCACCAGATGGGCTTGAACCAGTGTCCAGTAAACAAAGAGAAGGGTTAACACAGAGGAAACATTTCTTCCATGCTTCCAAGTGGAGCCAGCCACGGTTGAGCAGGACCTTTGACTTATCTTCACATAGACGGAACTGGTAAAAGAAAGGAGCCAGGCCCAAGACCATGTGACCTCTGAGGAACAGATCCCCAAATGATCTTAAGAGTAAAAGAAATTGGTTTATTTGGGTCAACTGTATGGTCTTAAATACCCAAAAGGAAAGTACACCCAAAACTTAAAGTGATCAGTATATTTCTTTAAGAGTCCATGTGTATAGCTAAAGGTTACATAACAGGAAACAATGCCAGACAGGAAATTCCTTCCTTTGAGTTGTTGGCCAGGGTGGCCCAAGAGACTCCCAGACAGTAACCCAGCATAGAACTAGGAAAATGAACAGCAGACCCCAATATTATCTAAAGGAATGTTGGCAACTGATTGCTGCTAGATGAAGAACAGCTGAGCTTCCTAAAACAAGGGACTCTAGATGGGCTGACTAGACTCAGCGGATGGACTAGCACTGATGAACAGCTGGGGGCACTGACAACACAGTGGACAGTAACAGGGATGGACAGAGCATATGGGCTCCAGTGGCGGGGGGCGGGGCATCTGGGATGCGGGTATAAAGATGAATAAGATTGTTTGGGA